CTAGGTCATTTGATTGCAGGAAAAGGTTACCCCAGTTCCTTGATTTTTAGAGTGTATGTACAGTGGGGAGAACAAGTATTTGATGCACTGCCGATTTTGCAGGTTTTCCTACTTACAAAGCATGTAGAGGTCTGTAATTTTTATCATAGGTACACTTCAACTGTGAGAGACGGAATCTAAAACAAAAATCCAGAAAATCACATTGTATGATTTTTAAGTAATTCATTTGCATTTTATTGCATGACATAAGTATTTGATACAGCAGAAAAGCAGAACTTAATATTTGGTACAGAAACCTTTGTTTGCAATTACAGAGATCATACGTTTCCTGTAGGTCTTGACCAGGTTTGCACACACTGCAGCAGGGATTTTGGCCCTCTCCTCCATACAGACCTTCTCCAGATCCTTCAGGTTTGTCGCTGGGCAATACGGACTTTCAGCTCCCTCTAAAGATGTTCTATTGGGTTCAGGTCTGGAGACTGGCTAGGCCACTCCAGGACCTTGAGATGCTTCTTACGGAGCCACTCCTTAGTTGCCCTGGCTGTGTGTTTCGGGTCGTTGTCATGCTGGAAGACCCAGCCACGACCCATCTTCAATGCTCTTACTGAGGGAAGGAGGTTGTTGGCCAAGATCTCGAGATACATGGCCCCATCCATCCTCCCCTCAATACGGTGCAGTCGTCCTGTCCCCTTTGCAGAAAAGCATCCCAGAAGAATGATGTTTCCATCTCCATGCTTCACGGTTGGGATGGTGTTCTTGGGGTTGTACTCATCCTTCTTCTTCCTCCAAACAAGGCGAGTGGAGTTTAGACCAAAAAGCTCTATTTTTGTCTCATCAGACCACATGACCTTCTCCCATTCCTCCTCTGGATCATCCAGATGGTAATTGGCAAACTTCAGACGGGCCTGGACATGCGCTGGCTTGAGCAGGGGGACCTTGCGTTCGCTGCAGGATTTTAATCCATGACGGCGTAGTGTGTTACTAATGGTTTTCTTTGAGACTGTGGTCCCAGCTCTCTTCAGGTCATTGACCAGGTCCTGCTGTGTAGTTCTGGGCTGATCCCTCACCTTCCTCATGATCATTGATGCCCCACGAGGTGAGATCTTGCATGGAGCCCCAGAACGAGGGTGATTGACCGTCATCTTGAACTTCTTCCATTTTCTAATAATTGCGCCAACAGTTGTTGCCTTCTCTCCAAGCTGCTTGCCTATTGTCCTGTAGCCCATCCCAGCCTTGTGCAGGTCTACAATTTTATCCCTGATGTCCTTACACTGCTCTCTGGTCTTGGCCAATGTGGAGAGGTTGGAGTCTGTTTGATTGAGTGTGTGGACAGGTGTCTTTTATACAGGTAACGAGTTCAAACAGGTGCAGTTAATACAGGTAATGAGTGGAGAACAGGAGGGCTTCTTAAAGAAAACTAACAGGTCTGTGAGAGCCGGAATTCTTACTGGTTGGTAGGTGATCAAATACTTATGTCATGCAATAAAATGCAAATTAATTACTTAAAAATCATACAATGTGATTTTCTGGATTTTTGTTTTAGATTCCGTCTCTCACAGTTGAAGTGTACCTATGATAAAAATGACAGACCTCTACATGCTTTGTAAGTAGGAAAACCTGCAAAATCGGCAGTGTATCAAATACTTGTTCTCCCCACTGTATACATAGTTTTACATGTAGCCATTTTAGCCACAACTATTGCCAATCAATATATTTTTCTCTGAATACACAACATCACAATATTCAGATTTGCAGTCATAAAGAATCTCAGAGGAAAACCAACTCTTAGGCAGATAGCCCAATAGTAAACCAATACCCTGTCTTTCACACAGGTAAAAGGTCAAGCGGTACTTGATGATGATCATGATGATGACCTTTATTTAACCAATTAGGATGTTTCTGCAGCATCGCATCACTACTTAGCAGACATAAGGTCTGAAAATGACTGTCGGGAGATCCATGGAACTGTGTTTGAACGTCCACACAAATGAGAAAAACTTCTGTCTACCAACATTTTCACTGAACAACAAACTTCTGTGTAATGTCATTTGTGTAATGTCAGCCTGTTGACGTACTTCAAATTACTTTTATATTAACATTGATTGCTTGGTAAAATTGGTCAACCAAATAGCATTTGGAATTACTTAGAAGTCTCTGCCAAGGCAAACTAGTTGAAATAATTTTGGGAATTGCATGTTGAGGCCTTCATGCACAGGACCAAAGGAGCCTCAAATGTCCTCCTCCCTCACCCACAGGCCTCGAATTTCCAGGCGGCATCAGCCATGCCCCTTGTATGGCCATAAAGAAATCCATGCCTTGCGGCCAAAGTTGCCGTTATGCCCATAGGCTGAATATAATAATTATAATTCCCTTCTCCCGGCTGCCAATAGTCATGCTCCGAAGTACCTCTCACTCACGTGGCTCTCTCAGATATCTCAATCAGTCCTTCTCACATGCATCACAGCTCCGAAGTAGGCTACAAGTGAAGACAGACACATCACGGACGCAACGGCGCGTCTCCTTCTTATCGAATTCCGAGGCGCACATTGAAGATGTTAGAAGAACTGTCCACATTTTACTTTTCCTCAGCCAACAAGATGAGTAACAAACAGCAAAATCACTAGCCTATGTCACTCTCAGTGGAGGCTGGTGGGAGGAGCTCTAGGAGGTAATGTAGTACATGGAATGGAGTCAAACGTGATTTCCATATGTTTTGATACCGTTCCATTCACTCCATTTCAGCCATTACAATGAGCCTGTCCTCCTATAGCTCCTCCCACCAGCCTTCTCTGGTCAATCTACTATCCCCCCCCCCCCCATAGTACAAAAGTTTAGACTACCTATTCTATTGGTCAGCTTGTCATTCTGTGCCAGAAATAAATTCCAAACTGACTCTGGGACAGTTGTGGGACGATAGATCCCAAATTCATACGACCACTCTACATTAAAAACAAATATGTAAAATAAATAAGGCTGATGCAACAGATCAGAACGTTTAGCTTAAAATGTCAATAAACTATTATTGCTTCACATTATAAGCGCAGCATTGTGCAGATGGCTGTGGGCTATATACGTGAATGTTCCAAAATAGAATTAGCGGGAAAACACTGTTCTCAAAAACGCACCGCAAATGCCAGTGGTTTCATTAGACAGAGATTAAAATATCCTTTCGAAATTTAGAAAGAAAGAAGATCTAAAGATGCAACAACTAGCATGGGTTGCTAATATGACTAGGATTGTGTCCATGGCTGCTGGACAATGAAAGAAAGTTGATTTGAAAACCAATAGAAATATCCTACTGGTTTCAATGGCATATGAGGAAGTGTTTATAAAGTAATTCCCTCAACATTCCTATGGTCTGAATTTGGCTAGGCTACTTTAAACAAGGTAAGACATGCCTCATAAAATAAAATAAAAAATAATCCAGGTTTTAAACCATTTGCGTTTATGGTTAAATAGTTTCAAAATGGTCCTCTGTAGCTCAATTGTACCTCCTGAGTGGTGCAGTGGTCTAAGGCACTGCATTGCAGTGCTAACTGTGCCACTAGAGATCCTGGTTCGAATCCAGGCTCTGTCGCAGCCGGCCGCGACCGGGAGACTCATGGGCGGCGCACAATTGGCCCAGCGTCATCCAGGGTAGGGGAGGGAATGGCCGGCAGGGATGTAGCTCAGTTGATAGAGCATGGCGTTTGCAACGCCAGGGTTGTGGGTTCGATTCCCACGGGGGCCAGTATAAAAAAAAAATATGTATTCACTAACTGTAAGTCGCTCTGGATAAGAGCGTCTGCTAAATGACTAAAATGTAAATGTAATTGGAAGAGCATGGCGCTTGTAACGCCAGGGTAGTGGGTTCGATCCCTGGGACCACCCATACGTAAAAATGTATGCGCACATGACTAAGTCGCTTTGGATAAAAGAGTCTGCTAAATGGCTTATTATTATTATTATTATTATTATTATTATTATTATTATATTATAAAATGTTGGCTGCCTCCGCTCAGATTGCAAGGTGGGTGATGTTGTGGTGCGGAACAGGCAACGGCCGTTCTCTCCTATCTGAACAAACAGTGCCTCCAGTATGCCGACAGAATCAAGCCTTTAAACATTAATATTATTTATTATTATATTTGTCAAACATGACTGGCGTTTAGCCTATATATATATAGAGTACCAGTCAAAAGTTTCGACACACCTACTCATTCAAGGGTTTTTCTATATTTTACATTTTTTCTACATTGTAGAATAATAGTAAAGACATAAAAACTATGAAAATAACACATATGGAATCATGTAGTAACCAAAGAAGTGTTGAACAAATCAAAATATATTTTAAATTTGAGATTCTTCAAATAGCCACCCTTTGCCTTGATGACAGCTTTGCACACTCTTGGCAGTTTGGCTACAATTTCAGGCGCATCCCTCATGTCAGCATCGGTCTGGTTATGACCAGCTGTAACCAATATGCATAGGCTATCACCTACACTTTGACATGTAGGCTAATTATTTCTGTACATTTACATACACTTGGGTTTTTCTTAACAGAATAGCTAGTGTTTTTCAGTTTTCAAATCAATTTAATTGGCTATTTTGGTTAATGGCATTGGTGCCCTAGCAGATGGCTTGGTGCCCTGGTAGATTAGGCACCTCTAGAAGACCAAATAGCCTTGCCCCTAAAATCATGGAATTCCAGGCCTGCTCACCCCCTACCTTACCACTGACCACTGTCCCCAGACCATTTGATCTGAGCTCCAGAAAGACTACCAGAAAGTACACGTGGAAGCTTTCCCTCTTCCCCCCACCAATCTTCTCTGAACCCTGTTGTCCACAGAGCTATGTGCATGCATGAGTTCTGAACGTTTGGCCACTCCTTCCCACCGTGGGTAAGCCAATTTGTCCCAACGGGGGGGTCAGCCACTCTGTCCCAACGGGGGTCAGCTAAAGTCACAGAGCCTCCGCTCACACTGGCTGTTGTTCAGCTGGTTCCGAGGAAAAACCATCAATCAGCCAGCCATCGATTCAGACAAGGGAATCCCTCTCCTCCTCTCAGCCTGTGCAGCCTCCGGTCCGTGCAGCTCCAAATGTTTGTCTGGTTGCTGGTGCTTGCCATGTGGACGGTGGTAGTGGTGATATTCTTGCGGAGCACATTGCAGACTCAGAGAGATGGCCTGTAGGGGGAGGTATTGCTCTACTGGGGAGAGAGCCGGGGAGCAAGGGGAGAGGGGGAGGAGGGGAGGGAGGGAGAGGGGGAGGATGTGACTGAGGAGGAGAGTGCAGTTGAGGTGAGCGAAGGGGTGGCAGGCTTAAGCCCAAGAACAGTAATCTAAGCAGCTGCCGCAGAACAAGTCCGTCACCAAAGCACGTCTTTCTGTCTGACTCTCTCTCTCTCTCCCTCCCTCTCGCTCTCTCTGTCACGGTCGCTCACGATGATTGGGGATTTTCAGTCTCCCCGTTTGACACAAGCATGTTTCAATTCACCTGAAAATACATTTTATGATATGAGCAAAATTAACAGTAAGCCGTTACGTTCTTTAAGCCTTTCTGCTTTCTATGGAAAGGAGGGTTTGTCTGATGCCTTGTTGTGTGTATCGAAGGTTGGAAAGACTTAACAAGATTTGTCTGAATACATGCAAGTTACACTTTATTTGATTGTTGTGTTTAAAATCCACCATGTAGCCAGTATCTTCTTGCTGTTTGTCCTGTAGGCATCAAAGTCATGCCACAAATTATATGAGGCTTACAGAGTTATCAGAGACTGAGTTCTACAGTGAACAAAAAAATGCTCATCATCAGTGTATTCAAATACAGTTATAGCAATGTAATTATTGAACAACTAACAAGCATCTTGATCTGTCAGAATAAGACACACTCTTAAAAACAGAGAAACGACTGACCCACAAAGCTAAACACAAACTTGGTTGCGACGGAAGGAAATCAGATTATCTGAACATTTGGCACCAAAAGGGAAGTCATCTGTACAATCATTAACAAAGTGCATTCCAATTGTTGTTTCCAGAAAATGTTGTTTATTAATGCGTCACTCCCAATGACGCCAATGGGCCGTGGCTTAGCCTTGATGCTAATTCTCATTTCAAAACCACGTCATGGGAATAATGTTTTTCCAACATTGAACTGAGTTCCCTGACAACTGTCACTGCAAGCAAGTGGCAATGCAGAATGTTCTAATTGAACAACTACGCACAAACCAGATTGTGCCCGAGTATCTTCCAGATGGCATTTACCTAAGAACTAAACATATTGGGTCATTATCCCACTCTGAAATGAAAGGTTATGCATGCACTTTATGGCAGAAGTATTGACTTAAAAATGGGACAAACATTCATTCCAAATTATTACCATTCCAGATATCAACTGATTTTCAGTATACTGTGCATTGTGTCCATTTTTCCCCAACAGACTTGCCAATGTCAATCAATTTATTATTTGTATGATTTCAATAAGGGTTTTGTTTTGAGTTATACATGAGCAAAAGCCTTGTGTACTTGTATTGCCATTTGAGTTAACCAAAGTTACTCTTTAAGGACAGTCCTGCTAACTAACATTACCTCAACGATACACAAACATATTAGTCATTAAAGAAAACGATTAGATACAGGAAGCAAACATTGTTTAAATATATACATTAGGCACATTCTAATGTCATGTGTAAACACAAAGTAATCAGTGGGGGGCATCTCAATACTCTTCACGTCTCCTTTCCTACATCTGCACTGATGTGAAGTAACTTGACTGTGGTGAGAGCAAATTTCTGGTGAGATCCCCATTACTTTATTCTACGTTGTATTCTCAGAGCTATGCAGATGTAGGAGAGGAGACGAGGAGAGGAGGCCAATTAATAGTATTGGAGATGCCCCCAGTAAGTTGATCTGAACCGTTTTCCACGACACCAGGTGTAGGTACACATTTTGGGCCCTGGTGTACAGAACCTAATGCTTATAACGCCGTTTCACATTTGGATGGAGCTCACGAAGCGGCATCCACAACATGACAAGACTTGGTCGTTTTTGGATTGGTTGCCTTGGTAACATAAGTGTAGACGCCTCTCTGAGAGTGGAGAGAATGAATCAGATCTAGACTCAGACCAATCAGATTTCAAAGATCTGATAGATAGAATACAAATGAGGACCCTACATAATAACTTTATAACCCAATGCATAAGCAATGCTTAGTATATTAATAAGCACTACATAGACAGTCATAGAGACTCACCTTTTAGAAATTAATTTACACCTTCTATAAACATTTGGCTACATATAAGGCATTACAACAGTTTGCATCATAAGGTTGTATGCTGCCTGCTTACAAAGTGTTATAGATGTTCATGAGCAGGTATTAGTGCCTATGTGCATGATATTGTATTATGCATAAGTCATTATAAATGTGCTTATTACGCATAATGAAGAGGGTATTCAAGGAAGTGTTACCAATGTATGCAGTGTATAAAGTTACATTAGTATAAAGTAACAACAGTTCTTTGTTTTACACAGATACTATTTTATTTTATTTGACTTCACTTAGACAATACCTTTGATGATACAGTGGTAGCAATACAAGGTTATAACATTTACAGAAAAGACAGAAATGCCAGTGATGGAGGTGTTGCTGTTTATATTCAGAACCACATTCCTGTAAAGATTAGAGAGGATCTCATGTTAAATACTATTGAAGTAATATGGCTACAGGTTCATCTGCCTCACCTAATGCCCATTCTTGTGGGAAGCTGCTATAGATACAGTCAGTATCTGGATAACATGTGAAATGCTTGATAATGTATGTGATATCAACAGAGAGGTATATTTTCTGGGTGATTTTAAATATTGACTAGCATTCATCAAGCTGCTCACTCAGAAAAAAGCTTCAAACTGTAACCTGTGCCTGCAACCTGGTTCAGGTTATCAGTCATCCTACCAGGGTAGTTACAAACAGCACAGAAATGAAATCATCAACATGTATTTATCACAACTTTACTAATGCTGCAGAAATGTGCTTGAAAGCAGTATCCAGATCCATCGGATGTAGTGATCACAATATAGTAGCCATATCTAGGAAAACCAAAGTTCCAAAGCCTGGGCCTAATATTGTGTATAAGAGGTCATACAATAAGTTTTGTAGTGATTCCTATGTTGTTGATGTAAAGAATATTTGTTGGTCCGTGGTGTGTAATAAGGAGCAAACAGACGTTGACCTTGACACATTTATGAAATTGCTTATCCCAGTTACTAATAAGCATGCACCCATTAAGAAAATAACTGTAAAAACTGTAAAATCCCAGTGGATTGATAAGGAATTGAACAATTGTATGGTTGAGAGGGATGAGGCAAAAGGAATGGCAAATAAGTCTGGCTGCACAACTGATTTGCAAACGTATTGCAAATTGAGAAATCATGTGACTAAACTACAACTTCAATTACATTTTTGGAAAAAAGGCAAACTCAGCTCCATCATTCATTGAATCAGATGGCTCATTTATTACAAAACTGACTGATATTGCCAACTACTTTAATTATTTTTTAATTGGCAAGATTAGCTAACTTAGGCGTGACATGCCAGCAACAAACGCTGACACTACACATCCAAGTATATCTGACCAAATTATGAAAGACAATTTTATTTTGAATTCCGTAAAGTGAGTGTGGAAGAGGGGAAAAATTGATTGTTGTCTATCAACAATGACAAGCCACTGGGGTCTGACAACTGGGATGGAAAATTACTGAGGACAATAGCAGACGATATTGCCACTCCTATTTGCCATATCTTCAATTTAAGCCAACTAGAAAGTGTGTGCCCTCAGGCCTGGAGGGAAGTAAAAGTAATTCCGCTACCTAAGAATAGTAAAGCCCCCTTTACTGGCTCAAATAGCCAACCAATCAACCTGTTACCAACCCTTAGTAAAGTTTTGGAAATAATGGTGTTTGACCAGATACAATGCAATTTTACAGTAAACAAATTGACAATAGACGTTCAGCACGCTTATATGGAAGGACATTCAACAGGCACAGCACTTACACAAATGACAGATGATTGGCTGAGAGAAATTGACTTCAGTGCGGCTTTTGACATTATCTGCTGCTGGAAAAACGTATGTATTATGGCTTTACACCCCCTGCTATAAAAGAGACAGAACACAGAGGGTGTTCTTTAATGGAAGCCTCTTCAACATAATCTAGGTAGAATCAGGAATTCCCCAGGGCAGCTGTCTAGGTCCCTTACTTTTTCAATCTTTACTAACAACATGCCACTGGCTTTGAGTAAAGCCAGTGTGTCTATGTATGAGGATGACTCAACACTATACACATCAGCTACTACATCAACTGAAATGACTGCAACACTTAACAAAGAGCTGCAGTTAGTTTCAGAATGGGTGGCAAGGAATAAGTTAGTCCTAAATATTTCAAAAACTAAAAGCATTGTATTTGGGACAAATCATTCACTAAACGCTAAACCTCAACTAAATCTTGTAATAAATAATGTGGAAATTGAGCAAGTTGAGGTGACTAAACTGCTTGGAGTAACCCTGGATTGGAAACTGTCATGGTCAAAACATATTGATACAACAGTAGCTACGATGGGGAGAAGTCTGTCCATAATAAAGCGCTGCTCTACCTTCTTAACAGCACTATCAACAAGGCAGGTCCTACAGGCTCTAGTTTTGTCGCACCTTGACTACTGTTCAGTTGTGTGGTCAGGTGCCACAAAGAGGGACTTAGGAAAATTGCAATTGGCTCAGAACAGGGCAGCACCGCTGGCCCTTGGATGTACACAGAGAGCAAACATTAATAATATGCATGTCAATCTCTCCTGGCTCAAAGTAGAGGAGAGATTGACTTCATCACTACTTGTATTTGTGAGAGGTATTGACATGTTGAAAGCACCGAACTGTCTGTTTAAACGACTAGCACACAGCTCTGACACCCATGCATACCCCACAAGACATGCCACCAGAGGTCTCTTCACAGTCCCCAAGTCCAGAACAGACTATGGGAGGCGCACAGTACTACATAGAGCCATGACTACATGGAACTCTATTCTACATCAGGTAACTGATGCAAGCAGTAGAATTAGATTTTAAAAACAGATAAAAATACACCTTATGGAACAGCGGGGACTGTGAAGCAACACAAACATAGGCACAGACACATGCATACACACACATGATAACATACGCACTATACACACACGTACACATGGATTTTGTGTTGTAGATATGTGGTAGTGGAGTATGGGCCTAAGGGCATACACTTAGTGTGTTGTGAGATCTGTTGTGAATGTATTATAATGTTTAAAAAATTGTATAACTGCCTTCATTTTGCCAGACCCCAGGAAGAGTAGTTGCCTTGGCAGCAGCTAATGGGGATCCATAATAAATACAAAATACAAATTAAGAACAGATCCTTATTTACAATGATGGCAAGAGGATTAAAAAAACGTATAAAAAAAACTACAGTTGAAGTCAGAAGTTTACTTACACCTTAGCCAAATACATTTAAACTCAGTTTTTCACAATTCCTGACATTTAATCCTAGTAAAAATTCCCTGTCTTAGGTCAGTTAGGATCACCACTTTATTTTAAGAATGTAAAATGTCAGAATAATAGTAGAGAGAATGATTTATTTCATCACATTCCCAGTGGGTCAGAAGTTTACATACACTCAATTAGTATTTGGTAGCATTGCCTTTAAATTATTTAACTTGGGTCAAACATTTCGGGTAGCCTTCCACAAGCTTCCCACAATAAGTTGGGTGAATTTTAACCCATTCCTCCTGACAGAGCTGGTGTAACTGGGTCAGATTTGTAGGCCTCCTTGTTCACACACGCTTTTTCAGTTCTGCCCACAAATTGTCTATAGGATTGAGGTCAGGACTTTGTGATGGCCACTCCAATAGCTTGACTTTGTTGTCCTTAAGCTATTTTGCCACAACTTTGGAAGTATGCTTGGGGTTATTGTCCATTTGGAAGACCCATTTGCGACCAAGCTTTAACATCCTGACTGATGTCTTGAGATGTTGCTTCAATATATCCACATAATATTCCTTCCTCATGATGCCATCTATTTTGTGAAGTGCACCAGTCCCTCCTGCAGCAAAGCACCCCCACAGCATGATGCTGCCACCCCCATGCTTCACGGTTGGGATGGTGTTCTTCGGCTTGCAAACCCCCTTTTTCCTCCAAACATAACGATGGTCATTATGGCCAAACAGTTCTATTTTTGTTTCATCAGACCAGAGGACATTTCTCCAAAAAGTACAATCTTTGTCCCCATCTGCAGTTGCAAACCGTAGTGTGGCTTTTTTATGGCGGTTTTGGAGCAGTGGCTTCTTCCTTGCTGAGCGGCCTTTCAGGTTATGTCGATATAGGACTCGTTTTACTGTGGATATAGATACTTTTGTACCTGTTTCCTCCAGCATCTTCACAAGGTCCTTTGCTGTTCTGGTATTGATTTGCACTTTTCGCACCAAAGTACGCTAATCTCTAAGAGACAGAACGCGTCTCCTTCCTGAGCGGTATGATGGCTGTGTGGTCCCATGGTGTTTATACTTGCGTACTATTGTTTGTACAGATGAACGTGGTACCTTCAGGCGTTTGGAAATTGCTCCCAAGGATGAACCAGACTTGTGGAGGTCTACAATTTTTCTTCTGAGGTCTTGGCTGATTTCTTTTTTGATTTTCCCATGATGTCAAGCAAAGAGGCACTGAGTTTGAAGGTAGGCCTTGAAATACATCCACAGGTACACCTCCAATTTACTCAAATGATGTCAATTAGCCTATCAGAAGCTTCTAAAGCCATGACATCATTTTCTGGAATTTTCCAAGTTGTTTAAAGGCACAGTCAACTTAGTGTATGTAAACTTCTGACCCACTGGAATTGTGATACAGTGAATTATAAGTGAAATAATCTGTCTGTAAACAATTGTTGGACAAATTACTTGTGTCATGCACAAAGTAGATGTCCTAACCGACTTGCAAAAACTAGAGTTTGTTAACAAGAAATTTGTGGAGTGGTTGAAAAACGAGTTTTAATGACTCCAACCTAAGTGTATGTAAACTTCCGACATCAACTGTATGCAAGACAAAACGGACAACACAGACCGAAGACACTGGCAACAGCACAAATACAACAGCAAACAAACAGTGGATGTGTGAGTGTGTGTGAAGTAAAGCAACATGCTTCCTTACATAAGACAACGCAAACTAGTGACAACTAGAAACAACTACATGTCTCAACAACCTGTTCATCTATTTGTCCTTTGAACTCTTCCAGGGACACCAGGTCCTGGAGTTTTAGGTTGGCTTGGAGGGAATTCCAAGACCAGTGGGCTGAGTAATGAAAGGACCTTTTTCCATGCTGGGTTCTAATTTTCGGGACTCTTGGTGTAAAAACAAGATTGAGATCTGAGCATGTACAGTACGTTTTAATTCACAGCTAGAAGAGAGGATAGCTAAAATGGCAGTTTTACAAAACTGGTTACAAAACTAAGGGCTGCATGATACACAGAGTCAAGAGCCTTCAGCTTGAGGCTTGCACATAAATAGTATCACCATCACTCCCTTCTGGTGGCAAAGGAAAAACAAGCTTTATGCTGGTAATAAAACCTGGCACAAATGCAAACACACATTCTCCCAGTAGAAGACATTTGACATTTTATTGTTAACTTGGAAACCTGTTAACTGGTTTCGACTGAATAGGGCGCTGTATCTTATATAATCAGTGACATGCAGTGAATTGTGAGTGACAAAGAAATCTGCATATCTGAGTCTAAACTCAAAAACCTTCTCAACACTGATATTTGTGATATTACAAGTATAATTGTATTGATGTTTGGACGATATGATTGGTAAATCTGTTATAAAACATTTGATGGGTTGAGTTCTTGGTGAGGAGCTGGCAAGGAGAACCCATTCTGCTGCGATTCTCTGTCTAGGTCTTGTCGACCCATTAAAAAACAGTAACCAAGCAACAGGGGGAAGAAACTTGTGCAGTGTCAGAAATAGCTGACAAATGAAGCAGTGTCATATTATTCTACTTGATTTATATGTGATCTTCCAGACTCACACTAGTTGATATCATAGCCTTGAAGAGGCAATAATTTTGTTCTAAAAGTAAACTTGTTCCTATGGAGAAAGGAGAATGTGAGACCTGCATAATGTATCATTCAAAGGACACTTGCACAATGGGATTGGTTTTGGTGGAAATACATTTTGCCAAGGTTTTTGCACAAACTCAAAGTGAAAGCTCTTGTAGGGACAGAATGGTTTGATTACAGGATGTGAGCTCGTCTAGCCAGGGGTGTCTTGCGCTGTGAAAAAACAGGATCACATTTGAGAAGAATGTGCATGAGTTTGAAGCTGTTGCAGAGACCGTTTTAGCCCAAAGAACTGGATAACCAATACATAAACAAAGCATTATATTGTCCCTACAGGAGCTCAAACTCTGGTCGCCATGACCACTGTGACAAGAAACCTATATCTTTGTTGCAATATATTATGAATTATTCATAGAGAATGTATTTCACAATATGACCTTCAGAAATGTTATTTTCACAAAGGCAACCTCTTCTTAGGACATTATGGTTTGATTACATGATATCTGGCAATAAAACAGGGTCACACTTGGTAATGGCATAGGATCAGAGGTGTCATGCCAACAGGTGCACAGGGGCCCCTCAGATTTGTTGTTGTTGTTGTTGTTTATCTGTAATACTACTATCCACCTAGCAATTTTATGAAGTTGGCTTTAGCTAGCCCAGTTAGAAAAGCAAGCAATAACTAAATGTACTGAATAAGACTCACCATTCCTTTCAATATTTTACCCAGATTTTAGCAGAGATGCAGAGAAGCATATTTAGTTTATTTAAGAAAAGTCAGGAGGATACAGACAGCTCAAGAGGTATGCTTAGATATGCAGAAAAATAAACATCATTTTTTTTTTTTTTACATAGAATTAAGCATAATGATTATGGCTCTGGATTGCAGGAAAAAGCTGTTTCAAGTGGTTGAACAATATACAATTCTCCAACCACCCCCTGGCCATCCTCACGTTCTTTGTGCCCCCTCAGATGTATGGTGTGCATGACGCCCCTGCGTAGCAGGACTCTGAAGCTGTTGCAGAGAGCTGTTTTATTGAGCCAGTGTTGTTTTATTTATTTTTATGATACAAAGCAGGGAAAAGCAGATCGTTTTTTTTATGAAGTATGAAGACTGAAATGCTGTGGAACCAACCATGTTGGTCATAACTTTCTGACCGCTGAATGATGTTGTAAATGCAACAGTGTGTAACCACAGCAGCGCAAGAGTTGTTCAGGTGCGGTCAAAACGCTTTATTCTAAATGACGATTCCTCAAGGCAGGAACACATGCACTCTTAGAAAAAAAGTGTTCCAAAAGGTTTCTTTAGCTGTCCCCATAGGATAAGCGTTTTTGGTTCCAGGTAGAACCTTTTTTGGTTCCGGGTAGAACCCTTTTGGGTTCCAAGTAGAATCCTCTCTGGAAAGGGTTTTACCTGGAACCAAAAAGGGCTCTTCAAAAGGTTTCTCCTATGGGGACAGCCAAATAACCTTTTTAGGTTCTAAATAGCACCTTTTTTTCTAAGAGTGGATAACTGTTTGAGTCAAATTCCTTTTGCAAAACCTGAACGTTCGATCAGACAGAAGCTCTCCTCTCGTTGTTTTATCTAAGTGATCATCTGAATGGCTTTTAATGAGAACACGGTCCTCAGAACACTGTGCCTAATAAGGGGTTTTTTTTTTTTTTTACTGAAAGTCGTTTGTGTAACCGTAAAAAATTGAACTTTTGGGCAACCATGTAATATATATTGTTACTTTGATTTTATATTTGAGATAATTGAACCCATAGGGCGTTGGCTTTACTTTGATTTGAGATTATTGAACACATAGACAATTGAACACAGATAATTGAACACTTAGTGTGCGTTTACACAGGCAGCCCAATTCTGATCTTATTTCCACTCATTGGTATTTTTACCAATCACATCAGATCTTTTTTAGAGCTGATCTCGTTGGTCAAAAGAACAATTAGTTGAAAGAAATATCAGAATTGGGCTGCTTGTGTAGATGAAGCCATATATAATTGAACACATAGATAATTGAACACATAGATAATTGAACACAGGGCATGGGCTCTACTTTGATTTGATATTTGAGATAATTGAACACATTTGATCATCAGCTTCAGTGTAAATTTGTTCATATGACTTGGGAGCAAACAGCATACTTTTAGAATGAAGTTAAATGTTGATATGCTCTCTGATATCAATGAATAGTTTCTGAGAGAGAGAGAGAGAGCGTGAGAGAGTAAAGCACATAATATTTATATTCGCTCTGATGCCAATAGTTTGAGTTTCTGACTGTGAAGTTTATAAAAAACAGCATGCACAGGTTGTACAAAACATTATGAACACCTTCTCTTTCCATGAAATTGACTGACCAGGTGAATCCAGCTGAAAGCTATGATCCCTTTTTAATGCCACTTGTTAAATCCACTTCAATTCAGTGTAGACAAAGAGGAGGAGATTTTTAAGCTTTGATACAATTGAGACATGGCTTGTGTATGTGTGCCATTCAGAGGGTGAATGGGCAAGACAAAATATTTAAGTGCCTTTGAAGGGGGTATGGCAGTAGGTGCCAGGCGCACCGGTTTGTGTCAAGAACTGCAATGCTGCTGGGTTTTTCACGCTCAACAGTTTCCCGTGTGTACCAAGAATGGTCCACCACCCAAAGGACAACCAACTAACTTGACAACTGTGGGAAACACTGGAGTCAACATGGGCCAGGATCCCTGTGGAACGCTTTCGGCAACTTGTAGAGTCCATGCCCCGACGAATTGAGGCTGTTCTGAGGGTAACTCAATATTAGGAAGGTGCTCTTAATGTTTTCATCAAATAAATATGTGGTTTACCAAGTAACCGCGTTTTCCATAGTCTATTGCGCACAGGGGAGGAAGTCTGTTGCTATAGGCTATAGGCTATCTACTCGGTAATTACCTTACTATAATTTTAAATGTGACGTTAGTTAACTAAAGTTATTCCATACAGATCAATCATGCTAAATGACTACGCTACACATCATCCTAAATTAATTCACCTTCAGCAATGAGCGAAATGTTTTAAATAGTTATTTTCCAGAGTATAGAATAAAACATTTTATTATAAAAGTATCTCCATAAAAAGTTAACCATATTTACAAAACAAAAATATAAGTAAAAAGATATTGCACACAATCATTATCTTCAGCATTAAAACATCAGTATCGGTTTTCTGGTGAGGTACCTTTTAAAAACCGAACTTCACAAAAATACTGGCAATAAATTGGTCATGGCAAACCCCACTTTACTCACACTCTCCACACAAACATTCGCACCATAAGGATAAAGAGAACATGACATATCGGAACACAGAACAACTGGTATTGACAAATAAACCCTTGCAGGTGATCGTCTGACGTAATATGTTGAGATGTCCAGGGTCAACATAATAACTATAACTAAAACAGGCTATTCTGCAACCATTGGGATAGGTCTACACATACATCACTAGTAAACAACACAAGTGAAAATGCTTGTGTGTCCCTGTGACACGTTATATACACTGCTACTCTTGAAAAGTTGCAGTGTATCAAATGTATAGCAGGTCTGTGAGACATAACTTATTTAATGCTGACGCCTAAAATGTGATACAACTCTAGACATGAATAACGACATTTCTTGAATTTCCAACACTTTGTCTGTATTGATCAAGCCAGTCCCTCAGCTCAGAGATGCGGTATCCCTCCGGTCCTCTACATCCTTGGTAGACAATCTTTCCGTCTTGAAGTATGTAAAGTCTATCGAAATATGCTCCATATGCGGCGTTGGACGAGTTCTCCATGCTGTCTGCGACAACAAGGCACCCAGGGACCTCACGGTTCATTATTTGAGCCGCACTGAGTCTGTCCTCGAGACAGCGGTGTTTGGGAATTTGGTAGGGAGCGTCAGTGCTCATCCATCCGTCCGACGGGTGCGCCTCCTCTATATACACAACGACAGAGTCTGAGATATCAGCGTATTGCTGCACAACACGCTGGAACGCCTTCAAGCGTGTCATGAACGGTGGTCAGGTGCAGCTGCCAAAGTTTAGAATGAGCGGTCTCTTGTCTTTGGCATAGTCAAGAATCCGGCTGCATCTCTGGTCGCAGAGCTGCACAACTTCAGTGTTGGGCGCTACATATCCAAGGTGCGCCGATTTTAAGAAATCCAGTTTATGGCCATGCCAAACGGCTTTGATTGACTCCCAGCTGAACATTCGATTAGATTCGGAAATACATAATGGGGGATCGACAATATTTCCTTCTTGTTCCTTCATTTTGGTGAAGACCCTCTTCCTTACGCACTGAAAATCGAGAAACCACAGCATTATCGCTGCCAAGAAGAAGCGAGGCAGTAAAATAAGACAGACAATTGCATTTTTCATAGCCTTGACAGAATTCATGCCGACTAATAATCGCAGACCGGCTAATATCTTTAGGCTATAGCTTCTAAAACTTCAGTCAGACTGCGTTCCTCTTGCGCTACGATCCTATGCTGAAGTTGCACTCTACTTGTAACTTCCCTTTTTATAGCACCGGCAGTGGATTTGAATGAAAAACACCCCGCCTCCAAACCGTGGCCGACTCCTCACATGGCGGGGATTACCTTCTATTAATTTAGGCTACTGATGATAGGAGAGGCAGAGAGCGAGATGTGTGTGTGTGTGTGTGTGAGGCAGAAAACTAAATGACTGTGTGCGACAGTGATTTAATTCTGCCTCCTCCTCCTCATAAGTAGCCTATATGCCTGTCTTTCTCGACCAATACACCTAACCGGGTATGCACATGCAAGGATTGACCAAAAACGTCATCTGTTTTTCCAAAACATCACAGACCAATTTCTTCCGATACCCAGCGTCAGGGGGATGTTGCCTGGTAGCGCTTTCAGCCTTGCACAAGATGAAACCACTACACGCGCTGGTGTTTGATTGTTTTGCTTTTATTGAGTCTGCTTATACATTTCATTATCAAGCATTGGGTAAATTCTCTAGCATGCTTAATTCAAATAAATGGCACTTGACAATATTTATTCATAGGCTGAACAAGGGAACGTTATTTTTAAACGTTCAATAACACATAGGCCTAGGCCTATTCAAGTTTCAAGATGTCTATTATGTATAATTTGGTAACATTTAGTTTTGAAGTGTCTAAGTGCTAGCGCGCAATAACGGAGTAACTCTTGGGGGAAAACGGTGATACAAGCTCTTCTGAAAATCCTAATAGAAAAACGATTCACAATTTTGATTTAGTAACCTACATTATAATTGTTAACTTTTTTTGTAACTATTAGTTTAGAGTTCACATCGTCCGGTGTTAAAGATTATTAATGAAGTGAGAGGAGAAGGCTACGGGATATTTTTTTGTTTGTTCAAAGTGAGTTCATGCTATTTAATAATGATATGAATTAGGCAATTATATATATCCACCGCATTGCAGTTAACCATCAAACTCCTGCGCGTGCGTAATTACGCACAAGCCACTAATTGACACTCTCCCACTAAATTACAATAGGCCTACAAATAATATGCATAGTCAGTCTGCAAATGTTAGTCCAAACAGCAAACAGCCAGGCTAGACGATACAATCATTTTAAGGACCATTTTGGCATGCAGTATACAGCACCTTTTGGCGCCAGTTATTATAATAATAATAATAATATGCCATTTAGCAGACGCTTTTATCCAAAGCGACTTACAGTCATGTGTGCATACATTTATACGTATGGGTGGTCCCGGGGATCGAACCCACTACCCTGGCGTTACAAGCGCCATGCTCTACCAATTGAGCTACAGAGTACCATGTGCGGCTGAATTCTCTGCAAAGCAGGGGATGGAACTGTTTCAGAGAACAGAACCGAAAACCGGAAAATAACAAAAATGCTCAATGAACAGAAACAGAACCGAGAACGAAAGTGATCCATGCTATTCTGGAACAGAACCGTTATTTTGCACTGAACCGGTTAATAAGGTTATTTTACATTCTACAAAGCCCTCCCTCTGTCACTAAGAAACGTATTCCAGTGCCTGCCTGCAAACTGAAAATCTTTCCCATGGTGTGTTCGTGTTTAGGCTACCTGCCCCTCCCCCCTCTGAAGCATAGGCTACTGTACTGATGTTACAAGCTTGATTCAGAAGATAGTGAGAAATATTTTTTATTATACTGAACAAAAATAGAAACACAACATGTAAAGTGTTGGTCCCATATTTCATGAGCTGAAATAAAAGATCCCAGAAATGTTCCATACACACAAAAAGCTTTATTCTCTAAAATGTTGTCCACACATTTGTTTAGATCCCTGTTAGTGAGCATTTCTCCTTTGCCAAGATAATCCATCCACCTGACAGGTGTGGCATATCAAGAAGCTGATTAAACAGCATGATCATTGCAAAGGTGCACCTTATACTGGGGACAATAAAAGGCCACTCTAAAATGTGTAGTTTCGGCACAGAGCACAATGCCACAGATGTCTCAAGTTTTGAGGGAGCGTGCAGTTGGCATGCTGACTGCAGCAATGTCCACCAGAGCTGTTGCCAGATAATTTAATGTTCGTTTCTCTATGGTAAGCTGCCTCCAAAGTCGTTTTAGAGAATTTAACAGTACGTCCAACCTGCCTCACAACCGCAGACGTGTAACCACACAAGCCCAGGACCTCCACATCACACCAGTTCTTCCATGGCCTGCATACTCACCAGACATGTCACCCATTGAGCATATTTGGGATGCTCTGGATCCACGTGTACAACAGCGAGTTCCAGTTCCCGCCAATATCCAGCAACTTCGCACAGCCATTGAAAAGGAGTGGGACAACATTCCACAGGCCACAGTCAACAGCCTGATCAACTCTATGAGAAGGAGATGTGTCCTTCCCAGTCATGTGAAATCCATAGAATAGGGCCTAATTTATTTATTTCAATTGACTGATTTCCTTATATGAACTGTAAAATCTTGAAATTGTTGAATGTTGCGTTTATATTTTTGTTCAGTGTAGCTAGAGAATAATGGATGAACTTGTTCAATGCTAGTTAAGGATACCATAGTCCTAGTTATCACGTTTCACTTGGATTTATTAACTACCAAAAGATAAGATGTTTTTTTTGTTCTGGTGACACTCTGCGCACACACAAGCTTGCTAGCTCAAAGGACATTCAAAGTTCCTCCATAGAAACCGCCCCTCCTAAGTATAATTTTGTGGACTTAATTCACATAATGCATTTCATAACAATATGCCAAGCAGCTTCAAGTCTTCTCCTCAACCCTCTCTCGCTCTCTTCCCACCCGCTAGATTTCAGTCTCATCTTGCGCCATACTTGTCTGTCCATCACACATGTAAACAACTAGCTTGCCTGCTCTATCCGCACTGATTGGTGACGTAATTGAATTAGCTAAATGTGAAATCAACCGTTTTTTAAGGGTTAAAAAAAGAACAGAAAGGAACGATATAAACCGGTACTTCTTTTGGGTTAGAATCATTTCTGAACTGTATTTTGCTGGTCCGAACAGTGGAACGGAACGACACACATTGTGGTTTTGTTCAGAACGAAACGATTAGGAAATAATGTTGGTTCCAACCCCTGCTGCAAAGCCAATCTTAATAAATAATACTTTGAGAAGGTTTTAATCATACTTTGAAAAGGTTGCTGCATTTTGGGTTAGTCACAACAGTCTTTCAATAACATGAATGTTGAATTTTCACATTTTAAAATGACACACAAATCCCTAAAACATATGTAAACCTATAGGGCTAAGATTTGCAGGAAAGTAGGAGGTAGATATGCACTCGTGGGTTAGGATTCTACCCAATAAGGCCCTGCGTTGTCCTTTCTCCTTAAGCACATTGATCAAACTATCAAGATTAGGCTATCAATAAATATATCTCATAACCCACTGGGCACACACTGGTTGAATCGACGTTGTTTCCACGTCATTTCTACGAAATTACGTTGGAACCAATGTGGAATAGACGTTGAATTGACGTCTGTGCCCAGTGGGAATAATTAAATGTGACTGTGATTGGTTCAGTTAGAGGTGCTGGCGATCAGTAATTGTGTGTAGGCTATGTTTTGAAGTAAACAAAATTAATAAGAATCAAATGAAATTACACTTCTAATAATTTACATAATCGCATCATCTCCATCCCGTGGTAGACATATCCAGTGGAGTAGGTTAGTGCATAACGGTGCGTCGATCCACACACAGCAGGCTCTGTCTTTGATAGCAGTTATACAAACTGTGACTACATGTGTCACATGAAACTTAACTTCGTTCTTCTCTAAAGCTATTTGAACAGAAAATGGCCCTTTGTAGCATAATGTGGTTCTGACCTTTCGGAGTTCAATATCTGATCTAGCTTATCTTGATCATTGGAAAGGAGCTACATGCAGTGTTTGTGTACCATTTATCTTTTAGAAATCTGTGACCTGTGCAATGATCATTATCATTCCATATCACATATTGATAACTTATTGATAACATATTGATAACATATTGATAACTGGCCTTTGATGTCATCAGCTATTTTCAGCCTTCTCCCTTCATAAACAACAACACGCCCTCTTGAGGACAGCGGACCACTAAAGAAAAGCCCTTTCAAAGGGGATGGTGACTTTTCAACCCAAATCAAATGACACTGGGAGTTTTGTGAGCATGTGACTTGCTGCCATGAACCCTTTTAATATTTTGGGAAATTGTCGCCTAGCTTTGTGTCTTGTCTTGTTCAGTACTTTAAAGTAACATGTGGAGCTATCAACATTTATTAGTTATGCTTCCTTCCCCCTCATTATCCAAGATGGGTATTTGATAGTTGGCCAATATCTAAATCACGTGACATATACAATTTTGCTCCACTTATGGCTGAATGAGGTAAGACAAAACAGAAATACACTTCTCTGTATCTGTGATATTAACCTATTGCATGTAGCACTTTTCACCCAGTCTAAGCAGTTTACATTATGTCTCATGACCTCATCCTCTTGCAATGGAACACCCACCTGGAAATGTATAGTTCCATCCCCCCACAAGC